GGGGTGAATTGGAGTTCTAAAAATTCTCCCATTTTTGCAACCACAACACTCAAATTAAAGAGAGTAGAGAAGAAGAGCTTGCTCAATGATTTATAGAGATTTGGTCCAACTACTTGGAGCCTAGTCCTCTACCTTGGCTTCACTCACCAAGGATTTCCTCCACACTCTCCACTAACAAAAACAATGGTGGTTTAAAGGAGCCACTCAATCCTTTACAAGAAAAAGGGTTTCTTTCAAATCTCACCCCTTTACACTTAAACCCCAAAGATCCTCTCTACAGATCACTCTTGAAGGAATCAACACACCCCCAAGATCACTCACTAATAGCACAAGAAGAGGATTACAAACTAAGATCTCTCAAAGATCAAAAACTCAAGTTAAAGCTCATGTAGGTAGGTAAAGATATTTAATATAATGCTCTCTAAACTTCTTCAGATCTGTTACCAACCATATTTACAGCCCCTTGCTCGAAAATAGTCGTTTCTAGCCGTTGGGGGTCATTAAATGCTTTGCAGGACACAAAGCTCGAGCTGCAGGATTGTCAGGAGAGCCGGCTTAACTTCCTAGAGCCGGCTCTGGAGAGCCAGCTTACACTTCTAGAGCCGGCTATTCGAGTTTGCAGACCATTCTGTTTTCCTCGAGAGCCGGCTGCAAAACTTTAAGCCGGCTTTGGAACTCCGACTTTAAATACATTAAATATTCTTCAAATAAGTCGACCGTTGAGCATTAAATGCACCCTCACAGCCGGCTGCAAAGTTGGAGCCGGCTTTGCGTCTTTTCTCCGCTCGCGCCAAACAACGGACCTTTAAATCTTTACTCGTAGAGCCGGTTGCAACTTCCAGAGCCGGCTCTCTGCACTTCCATTTCACCAAAGCCGGTTTAAGCCGGTTGCAGCTTTTAAGAGCAGGCTCTCTGCACATTTTGAATCCTTTTGGTCTATTTTTAGTGCAATCCAAGTTTATTTGCAATCTTTTAGCAACTTAACTACACACTTAAATAAACCAATTAGTCACTTAAATGTGTTTTGTAATCATCAAAATCATAGGTACAACAGACTTATGACACTAACATATAGAGCTAAGTGCTCTACATAAATAAGACAATTATGTATTGAGAACCTCTATATATGAATATATGTTAAAGGGATATAATAGAGCTATGTAATGATATAAAAAGAATGCATTTGAGCTTTCTGATGCTATTAGCAATCACATCTATTGTACCACCCGACCTAGCATATGAGATCAATGGACTTGGCGATGTAGTGTCTCCCGACACTACAATGCTCTGTCTATCCAGAGGGACTCTTAACTGGCATGCAGAGGGAAAGGATCCATCGGCGTATCCATAACACCAATCACCCCTGCATGAAACCTTTGCCAAGAAAATATCTTTCCCACCAACCATAGCTTTTCCGACCTGGGAATCATATGGTTTCCATATCAATATCAAGGGAAGAAAGGCATTTGCATCCATGGGAAGGCGAACCTGACTGAGCAACTTTTCAATTTTGCCACCTACCATCCCTAAATCGCTAATGGAACTACCAAACCTCATCCTTCAATTCCGCCACAGCCCACACACAACCGTTCACTGTCGTTGCAACACGCCAAGTCACGGATCTGAACCCAGATCTGAAAGCACTCTCCAGATTTGAACAAAAAGAGTCAAAATTGAGAGGAAAAACACAAAGACGTAAGGGAAGGGCAAGCATGAGGAGAAAGACAAGCAATAGAGAGAAAAAAAGGGGCTCCTATGCTAGAGAGAAATCTTAAGGGAGGAGCTTGCCGCCTCTGAAACCGTAGGGATTTCAGAGCACAAGAGAAAAAACCATTCGATTTTTATTTTTTTTATAGAAAACTTATAGTTATACCAAAATAGTTTTAGATAAGGGTGAATATAATTTAATTTTGATTGTAATCGAAACTAAATTACTGATTAACTGAAATTTTGGATTTTTAATTTAGAAATACGAATTTTATTGGTACATCTTTTAAAGTAACCATTAAAATCAATTTTGGTTTAATTAAAAAATTATTTTTAAAATTTTCAGTGATTTTTTGAATTTTTATTTATTATTTTATTAATTTTAATTATTAAAAAATTAACAATTATCCAAATAAATAATTAATTTAGTAAAAAGTGACTAAAAAACCTTAAAAAAATCTAAAAATCATTAAAAAAATTTTTTTGTTCAAAATCTTTTAGTTATACTTACCATAGTCA